CTAGGCGAGCAACACAATAAAAGACACAAAATCCACTAGGAAATCATTTGATTGTCGGAGGTACAATTTATTGCCTGCAAAATTAAAGTAATAAGGTCAAGTTCTTTCTGGTGATGGGAACTAAAATAAAAGCATATGAACAGTGGATTCAAGCATTCTGTGTGATGTTTTGTAAACAATATCCCTACTTAGTCATTTGGGCTTGGCTGACTAAACTGAATACAATCCAGAAAGAACTTCCTTACAACTCGTATATCCAGAATCTATCTAGCTAAGAGAGGAGCAGCCTATAGTCTAAGGACACTTTTCTTGCAGGCTGTGGAATCCCAAGATGTACAACCCATTTTCTCTGTTGATTGGTCACCAAAATGGAGGCCAGAGGCAGAAAGCTGTTTCATTGCTGGAGAAAACAGTGATTTTTTAATACTATGCAGGAGAATTTTTTCATACTATAGCACTATGATCCACTTTAACTGTCATGACGGCAGCTTAAAAAGCCAATGGGTTTTTTGGGCTGCATAAATAAGAATATAGTGTCTAGATCCAGGGAAGACATTCTTTCCCTCTATTCTGCCTTGGTCAGAGCACAACTGGAATACTATATCCAATTCTTGCACCACAATATAAGGGAGATGTTGACAGGATGGAATGTGTCCAGAGAAGGGCAACTAAAATGATCAAAGGTCCAGAGAACAAGCCTTATGAGGAGTGGCTTAAAGAGCTGGGCATGTTTAACCTGAAGAAGAGAAGACTGAGAGGAGACATGATAGCCATGTATAAATATGAGGGGAAGTCATAGGGAGGAGGCTTGTTTTCTACTTCCCAGGAGCCTAGGATGTGGAATAATGGTTTCAAACTACTCCACCTGAACATGAGGAAGAACTTCCTAATGGTGAGAGCTGTTCAGTAGTGGAACTCTTTGCCCCAGAGTATGATGGCTCCTTCTTTGGAGCCTTTTAAACAGAGGTTGGATAGCCATCTGTTGGGGGTGCTTTGAACGCAATTTTCCTGCTTCTTGGCAGAATGGGGTTGGACTGGATGGCCCACGAGATCTTGTCCAACTCTATGATTCTATGACTGAATCTTATGGAAACCCTTGAGAAAAGTTCTCTTGTAACAATTCTAACAATTCTCCCCTAAAAAAATATCTTCATTGCCTGTGAAAGTGGAATCATAGCATCAAAAAAGTATAGTGTGAAACAGATTTAGTTCTGTGAGGATTCTGCAACTGGACAAGGTCCTAGGAGATTACAACATACTATCCTCATGCATGAGATTTAAAGATAACTTCTATTTTATACTTTTTCAGATTTTTCTTTCAAAACATTATTTCAAAAAATAAATTATGCCAGTGGCCGATTTTAAAGAAAAGGATAGGCTTAATTGTCTTTCAAACAATGGATTTAGTGCTCATGTCCCAATACAAGGTATCACTGTATTATTTGTTGATGTCACAGTACCGTAGAGTCTTGCTTATCTGTCATGAATGGGCTGGCAGAATGTCGGATAAATGAAAATGTTGGATAATATAGAGTCTCCTACTGTTACCCATACAGTAACACCTAGAATATTAACAACGGGGACTCAAATGTTTAAGGCAAGGTAACACTAGCAGGAAGTGTCCGGATGTGGAAGAGGAGCATGGAAATCACAGAGGGAAGGAGGGAGGACACTTCCAGTCCTGCCTCTTTTCCTCCTTTCCTCCTTCCTACTCCTCCTTGTCTTGCCTTATTCACATATTGGGAATGGAGAGAGGGTTGGGGAGCACTCCTTTAATTGAAGGGGAAATGCTGGGGGAAAAGGGGGACATTGGATAAGAGCGTTGGATAAGACGGAATGTCAGATAAGTGAAGGTCAGATTACTGAGACTCTACTGTACCTATTGTTTTATTTTCAGGTTTCCCTGATGAAGTTTTGCCATTTAAGATGGGCTGCATATCACCCAAATAATCTTACAGTGAGATCTTCTAAGACTACAATAGTCAAACAGACTACAATAGGCAAATAGTCAAAAGGCTGCTCTGCCGCCTACAAGAAAAGTTCACAGCTTTTTCCAGATTAAACAGAGAAAGGGGACTTGCTTAGCATGATTTTGTAAAAGTACATGGAGGAATTTCTCCCCTCACAAGTGACAACACAATCTAGCACATTGAATTGCAAAAGAGCTGCTGGGTTTGTTTTCAATGTAACCTAGCTGATGTCCTTTGACAAATATCCGTGAAGCAATTGACCGGAAATCTGTGAGGAAATAAATACATCTGGAAACATTTTGCATACTGGCAAATTTGAACTATGTTACACAAATATCTTCTGTGGCATATACATGCGAGAGAGTACCACATGACATTTTTGCAAGCTGTTCTTTGAAAAACAAAAAACAAAATATCCCCACAACAATTTGACTAATGTGTGCTGATTTGGTCATATTCCACAACGTGCAACTATTATGGAAATCATAAAATCTCCCACTGAGGACACTTAGGCATTCTGCCTTTACAGGAATGTCCTTATTATCCAAACACTAAAATACGTAAAGAAACGAAAGGAATTTAGCCATATCTTTTTGCTATCAATATGTCATTTTTAAACTATAATCTAAGTTTATCATCCCAACTGGTCAAGATTACTATAAAGCATCAGCAATTGGATTTCTAATTCCTTGGTTGAACATTCCCAAAGGGGCCTCCAATTTCAAATGGAGCTAGTAAGCCCAGCAAAGGGATCTTAACCATGGCATTTTCCTTCCATGACATTTTTCTAATCATAGAATACAATAGAAATTAAACAACTTTCAAACCAACAGGGACAGAGTAGGGAGCACATAACAGCTGGTTACAGTTGACTCTCCATATCTACAGATTCTGCATGGATTCAACCATTTTCAGCTTGAAAATATTGCCCTCTCCAAAAAACAAAACAAATAGTTTTCCTCTCCCCATGAAATGGGGAGAGAGGAAAAACATTTGTCTGCCTCACACGAGGCAGGGAGGAGTTCACATGGAACCCTCCAGAACATCCGGAGGGGCGTGGCCTTAGAGCGCAGGCCAGCCCCTCCCAGGCTCATTCCAGCCTGGAAGTTGGCCCACCACTCCCGCCCATTAACAGTATATCACGGTTGCCTGTGGAACCGGGTAGGAATTTTTTCCTCTTCTTGTTCATGGGGGAGGTTTTTTGCCTACCCTATACTGTTTAGGGGCTAGATGGAGTTGGTCGGCTATGTTAAATAGGCCAGGCGTAAATAGATAGAAAATTCCCTTTAGTCGGTGTGCACCAAGGGCACCCCTTTAAGGGGTGAAAGGCCGTTAAGTTAAACACTCGCCTCCAGTTTAAAGGGGGACGTGTAGTTAAATGGCCTTTAATTGGAAGGAGTCTCGATACAAGAGTTCTGGAAGAGACTCCTTATTCCTTTCCCTTGAGGGTAATACGGTTTGATTACCGAAACCCAGGTGCTTCGCCCGGAAGTTGTTGTTATCGGGTAGAGACTCTACCTGGGTTAGGTTGCATCAGTTCCTTACACCCTTGAGTTAGTTTAGAACATTAAATAGGTAACGTTAAATAAAAGTTGCCCAATTTGAATCCAAACATTGTTGTTATGTCTTTATTTCGGGTGTTACTTCGTGGGTTGGCGGACAAAAGAACTCCTACAATGAATTCCCTATTGGTTGTGGATCCCCCACAACGGGGCTAGTTTGGTCTCCACTTCTAACAGGTTAGCTGTATCTATGTTTACATGTTTTAATCTCCTCTTTATCAAATTTTACATGCTGCACAAATATTATAAAGAACTCCAATAATGATTTAGATCTGAATTTCTGCAGTGACAAATGGCTGGACTTATGATGAGCTTTGGAGTACATTCCAGTTCTACATTTCTATGATTAGTTGGTTCAGCTGGCAGTGAGGGTGGGAGGTGTAGCTGTGTGAAAATCCCATTTTGTATCAAGAGAGATTAGCTGTGATTTCAATCGGACAGATGTGACCAATTAGGCCACAAATATAATTGATCCAATGCTGTCCTCCATCTTGGCCACCATTTGACCCCACTTTTTTTATTACTGGAGCAGTTTTTCCTTTTGTGTATCATAACATTTGTAGATTGTTTTACCAGAGGCCTCTTATTAATTTCAGAGCCCAGTTTCTCTCTGATCCTAGCGATAATTGTATGAAGGCAGCACTTGTTAAGAAAGTGGGAATAACTTTTCTGTCCCTGTGCTGGACAGCACCACTGTTCAACCCTCAAAATACCCATGCCTGATGTATAGTGGTTGAATAGTTCATTTTCTCAAATTTACCTTTCTCCTAAAATGGGAATTAAAGTGGCATACAATATATACACTGGGACGTCTGGAAAGGAGCAATCAAATGAACCATTGAAATATTTCAGTAGATGCTCAGTGGCCCAGTGGATTGATGCAGGAACTTATAATATACAATACACACACTAGGGCAGGGGTCCCCAAACCTTTCAAGTGGAGGGCCGATTCACGGTACCTCAGGCTGTTTGTGGGCCAGACTTTAGATGCATATGTGTGTGTGTAAGCATATGTGAACATGCATGCCAGCCATGCACCCTGCAGCCACCTCCCTCCCTCCCCCACACACACAAACACTTCCCTCCACTGCATGTGTGCATTACCCATGCAAGTATACATGTGGCATACATCCACACATGCTTGTTTGTATAGTGGTAGGGCCCAGAAAAATGACCTTGTTGGCCTGGATTTGTCATGCAGGTGGTAGTTGGTGGACTCCTGTATTCAGGAAACTGGAATCCACTTGCTTACTGCATTGGCTTATGGAAGAGGCTCCATATAAATAGTGTCTGTATTCACGGATTCAGCCACCCACAGCTTGAATACACACACACAAATAAATAAATAAACAGCAAATACAAAATCTTGATTTTTCTATTTTTATGTAAATAGCACCATTTCACTACACCACTGGTGGCGCAGTGGGTTAAACCCCTGTGCCGGCAGGACTGAAGACCAACAGGTCAT